ACCTGGCTTTGGAGGAGAAGAACAAAGGCAATGAATGTTTTCAGAAAGGTACGTACAGCCCAGACGATGGCACTTTGGGATGAGTGGTGTCGATGTGCGTCTGGGCCTTGGCTAACTGCAAGATGAATATGGTCTGGTGGGAGAAGGTAGCTGCTTGCTTTTTTAAAAAAGTTCTTTTCCTTATGCAGGGGACTATCCCCAGGCCATGAAGCATTATACAGAAGCCATCAAGCGGAACCCAAGAGATGCCAAATTGTATAGCAATCGAGCTGCCTGCTATACCAAACTCCTGGAGTTTCAGCTGGCGCTCAAGGTAGGAAGATCTAGGAATGTGGAGCAGCCATCATTGTAACATGTACATCAGGGATGTGTTGATGGTGTTTTCTCTTTTCACATTTTCATCAACATCACCTTGATGTTCTTACTTTGATTATAGATTCAAGGTGGTGGTGCTTGTGTGAGGTTCGTAAAATACAGGACTTGTCTCCACCCGTTCCCAGCCCATGGAGTTGTTAGTGGATGGGAGTATTTGGGAAAGTGGAACCTTTCCCACCTTCCCTAATGACGCTCATCATTTTTTCTCCCCATTATCCTTTCTCTCATTTACTTGTTTTGCCTTTTTTACATTTTAAGTGTCTGATTCAGTGGCATCAAACACACACATTGTTGTGCAACCATCGCCCACCATCCAGCTCCAGAACTTTTTCATCCTCCCAAACTGAAACTCTGCATCCTCCCTATTCTCTCTCCCTCAGGCCTTGGCAGCCACTGTTCTACCTTCTGTCTCTGAATTTTGATCACCCAAGGCGCCCTGTATAACTGGAACCATACAATATTTTTTTGTGTTTGGTTTATTCCACTTAGCATAATGTCTTCAAGGTTCATGTTAAAGAATATGTCAGCATTCTCTTCCTTTTTAAGTGTGGATAACTATTTCATTATATGATTGTATCACCTTGCGTTATCCATTTATCTGTTGATACCTGAGGTTTCCACTTTTCAGCTATGGCGAATAATGCTGCTGTGAATGTGAGTGTACAATATCTGAGTCTCTAGTTACATTTCTTTCAGGTAATAAACAGTGGAAGTGCTGGATCATAGGGTAGTTCTGTGTTTAATTTTTTTTGAAGAACTGCCATATTTTCCACAGCAGCTTTACCATTCTTCGTTTTTTTGACAGGTCTGCTGTTTTCAGTCACATTGAGTGTGGTTAAGTATGATTATGTTCAGCACTGTGGAGGAGTTATTCCCCGTTGCTCTCTTGAGCACGAGCCGCTCTGTGCCTCTTGGCTATTTTTTAACTGTTCTCTAGAAGGCAGACCTGGACCATCTGTGGGAAGGTGACAAAATATGATCTGTCTAGAGACACCAGTACCTGAGTCCACAATGGTTTTATTTTTGATGCCATTATTCTTTGGATCTGTGTCTGGCCTAGAGACATCACTAGGTAGGACTGTACAATGTCAAGTTGGTTTGCAAAACAGAGAATAACTAGTCACCTGTAAAGTCACTTCTCAATCATGCAAATGAGGAAAGAAGGAATGGATTTGCTCCTGGTCTTAGAGATTATTGGTGGGAGAGTTGGAATTAGGCCTAGCTATGCAGTACAAACTATACTGCATAGCATTCTTTTCCATATAATTTTATATTTTGAAATTATTGCAAACAAAATTACATAAGAGTACCTGTGTATTTTCCACTTCTGTTCAGCAGTAAGTATCGA